TACTCTGCTCTCCCCCCCCCCAGCTCCCGCGGCTTGACGCATTTGGGATACCCTTAGGTCAGCGCATGGTGCTCTTCCCAGCTGGAAAGTGAAGTTGCGTGAGCACCTGTTCCGTCCCAGCTGGTGTGCCTCCCAACCTCACCATGCCCTGGCCAGCTCTCCCTGCAGGGCTAGTGTGCCGCTGCCGTGGTGGCGCTCCGAGCATAACCTATTCTTCGGCTTCCAAACTCTGGAGATCTGCAGCTGAGTCTTTCAGCCGTTACCGCTCTGGGAGTACGCTCTATGGTTGTGGGCTGGCTGAGGCAGAGCGTACTACCAGAGCGTACAACCATAGAGTGTATTCCCAGACTGGCAACTTCCGGAAGACTCAACATCCTACCTCCCTGCTTTGGAAGCCGCAGAAAAGCCATGTGGCGGGGGCACTCTCTACAAAGAGAGTTAGGCAAGAGCATTGTGAGGCTGGGAGGTGCACGAGCGGGGAGCGGAAAAGCCACTCGCGCCACCCCCTGTCTCCAGCCATGCAGAGCCCCATTCACTGACCTAGGGGCATTCTGAAGGCGGGAGCCAGAGGGAGCCAGAGGGCGGGAGCCAGAGGGCGGCGAACAGGTGCTCATGTGGTTTGGCGATACCCCTAGGTCAGTGAATGGCGCTGTGCCCGGCTGGAAAGGGGAGTTGCCAGGCGGCTACTCGTGAGCGTGGTCTCCTCATGGCTGCTGTGTAGTGCTGCTGTGATAGCGCAACACAGCGGTTTGACGCTGTGGCTGTGCCCGACTCTTCGGGAGCCCGCTCACAAGAGAGCAAACACCTGGCAACCAGTTGGGCACAACACCGCTCATCGACCTAGTGGTATCCAAAAGGCACCAAGCAATGCAAGGCTTTGCCCCCCCCCCCCACTCCGTTCTTACGGCTTGGCGCCTTCGGGATACCACTAGGTCGGTGAGTGGTGCTCTGCCTGGCTGGGGGGGTGGTTGTCCAGGGGGCTTATTTTCGGGAGTGGGCTTACATTTTTGCCCACCCGAAAAATGTGGCATGGTCTTATTATCAGGACATGTTGTATTTTTGGGGAAACACGATATTAATGAGTCTAATTCTCTAAAATAATATACAAGTGCTTCTATTCTATTCTCAACATTTATACAGAGTGCTTATAGGGCTTTATCCATAAAACAAGATAAGTTGCATAATTGAATTAACAAAGAATTGTGCCGAATAACATTGTTTTAACACAAAACTCTCAATTATACATAATCTCTTAATTTTTAGAGAGCATCATGTAGATGATACGGGACGACCACAAAATTGCATTAATACTGAAACTGAAGGTAATTTGAAATATATTTTGACAAACTTGCTAACATAGGTAGGAATAGTGTCAAATGTGTGAAGGATGTGGGTGATAGCTTTTGGGATATATGTCTCAAGTCTGAGCAATTAACTGCAACTTCAGATCAAATTTATTAGATTCAGTGGTTCACAAGCACACGCTAATGATTGCAATTTGTCATGGATGGGAATATATCTGCAGTAATGAATTCCTGTGTCAGTGTTATTACAATGCAATTTCTAGATAAATACTAATATCTAAATATATAAGATCCTACTGGAAAGTATGAAGGCATCGTAAAGTATCAAATTCTAAACAGAAATTTAAAGTAATGAAATGCTGCAAAAAGTGAGCAATGTACTGTACCTGATCTTTCTAGACCCCTATATATTCTTAATGAAAGAAAAATCTTTCTGTCCAATTTGGAAATAACTATTTACCATATTTTTGGAGTATAAAATGCACAAGAGTGTCAGACGCATCAAGATTTTAAAGAGATAAATTTAAAAAATTAGTTTTTGCACTCTGCAGACCTCCCAAGCCTTTTTGTGAAAAACGGAGCATGCAGAGAGTTTGAGAGGCCTGCAAAGTGCTGCTTTGCACTTTGGGGCAAAAATGAGCAAAAAATGCCCCATTTTTTGCCAAAAAAGGGCATGCATGGCCTTTAGGAGGCTTGTAGAGTGCTACTCGGGACTGGAGGGGGGGGAGCAAAAAGAAGCAAAAATGGCCCGTTTTTTGCAAAAAAAGGAGAGGCATGCATATGTTTAGGAGGATTGTAGAGTATGCCTGGGGGCTTATACTTAGCTATACCTTTCTGTCTTGTTCTGTCATTAAAGGGGGCTAAGGGAGTTTGCATATCCTTTATGTCCATAAATCATGCATATTTCATGAACTAAGATTTTCTCAAAATAATTGCATCTATATCGATGCTATGTATGTCTTTATTTTATCAGTTACCTTTTTTTAAAAACAGAAAATAATGAAGTGGTTCAAGATAATCAGCGATACATTGACCATGTGGCTGTGGTATCAACAAACTTTCTTTTCTTTGTTATCCTATTTATTTTTGCAGTTTTTGAAACGTAAGTATTTGGATTTTTAAAATAATCTTTCTTACATTTCTACAAAATTTTGTGAATAAAGTTTGCTGCAACATTTCCTACAATAGCTTTTTCTTATTACCATAACAGATTTAATACATCCAGACATACATGAATTATCGCTACCAGCCATCGTACTTGGGGTGTTATTTATTTATTTATATCTCACCTTTATTACTTTTTACATATAACTCATATACAGTATATACAACACACCTTTCTCCTATTTTCTCCCACAACAATCCTGTCAGGTGGGTCACCCAACTGGCTGACTTGGCTAAAATGGAACTTGAACTTATGGTTTCCTGATTTCTAGCCTGTATATAATGAAATTAATTTAATGTTCAGAATTCAGAATAAATCACAAGTTGAGTTTTTAAGAGAAAATTTCACAGAAGGCTAACACATGTGTTATCACGGAGAAATTTATCAAGCATATACTTTAGAAAATAATTTATAGTCCAACTGGATAAATGGCAAGTCTCTCATAAAATCATGTTTGGTATGTAATAACATAATTCATACATACTGTATTCAACTATATTGTCATACATTTTCACCCACTGAGTTCCATATCCTCGGAGGGGTTGGTGAGTTGGGACTGGGCGGCTGGTCTCTTTACTGCTGCCGCTGACGTCCCTCCCCCCCCCTCTTTCTCCATCGCGGCCACCACTGCTGCGGACTTTTGCTTTGTCCATACTCCGGCTGCTGTGATCCTGACTTCTTAAAACATCAAGTCGCCTTTCCGTTACTATCTACCGCTGCCACCCGCTACCTTCTTGGGCCTGCCTTTTTGGGACGACGTGGGCTTGGCTTTTGGTGGCGCGTTTCTCCGGTCGCCCTCGCCCTCTTGCCGCCCCCGCCCTCGTCCTCAGGGATTTTTCTTCTTATCATCTTACTTGGGCAGCAGATGCCGAGGGAGGGTCTTAGTCAGATTTGCTGGGATGAGTTCGAGTTTGTCACCCCTGAGGAAGTGGACAAGGCCATGGGAGCGATGAGCGCCTC